TCCCCCCCCCCCCCCCATTGCTCCTCTGTTGTGTCTGTCCATCCTGCTGACCGTCTGTCCGCCCCCCGGCTCAGGCCCCAGGGCTGGCTCAGTGGCTGGCTCCCTGCCTGGCGCCCCACCTCCATGTCCCACCTGAAGAATGTGGAGGCCCGGATCCTGCAGTGTGAGTGCTGAAACCGGGGGGGGGGGGGAACCTCGCTCCTGGGATCCATGGGGGGTGTCCATGGCCAGGGGGCTGCATAGGGCTTGGGGTGTATTTCCTATGGGGGGTGGCTGGGGGCAAACAGCAGCTGCTAAGTAAGGAGGCCATGGGGTATGTCCCCCTAAGGGGGCTGGGTTGGAGCCCCCCCATGGTTACACTCCACCCAGCCCCCCCAACTATATCAGAGAAGGGGGCCCAGGACCCACTATGGGGGGTCTGGGAGACCCAGGGGGTTAAGTACCCCCTATGGGTGCGCTAGCTGATCCAGGGGCTTAGGTAGGAATCTAGGGTGTATATCCCTCATGGGGGGCACTGGGGGACCCAGGGTAGGTATGTGGGGGGCTGGCTCAGGGGCTGGCAGATGGGTTGGGTTCCAGGCAGGGGGACACACTGCCTATGGGGGGGCTCGCAGGTGAGGGGCTGAGTCAGGGCCTGGTGGCCGGGCTGGGCAGGGGGACACCCCCCGTCCCCCCCCATGGGCCGCTGGCTAAGGGTCCCCCTGACCTCCCCTCCCCGCGCAGGCCTGCAGAGCCGGTTCGTGGGGCAGTACGTGACCCTGCCGGGCCGGGCGCGCGTCTGGACCATCTCGCTGTGCCCGGAGCAGGGCAAGGGGCGCACCCCCCTGGTGCTGGTGCACGGCTTCGGGGGCGGCGTGGGACTGTGGGTGCTCAACCTGGACCGGCTCGGGGCCCGGCGGCCCCTTCACGCCTTCGACCTGCTGGGCTTTGGGCGCAGCTCCCGGCCCCCTTCCCCCACGACGCCCAGGGCGCCGAGGCCGAGTTCGTGCGCTCCATCGAGGACTGGCGCCGGCAGATGGGCATCGGTGCCATGATCCTGCTGGGGCACAGCCTGGGGGGCTTCCTGGCGGCCTCCTACAGCCTGGCGTACCCTGAGAGGTGA